AGTTAAATATATAATATGAAAGAATTTGATAATTAACTAAAGGAGAAATTAAATATCGTAACGGAGAATAGTTGTAATTGAGGAACCAAAGGAAGACCAGCGCATCCGAGTTCGCCCGAAAGTTTAGAACACGTTTCCATAGTAACATGAGCTTCATATAGTACGGACTTGGACAATATTATATAAATATACATATGCGGTTTTCATAAATGCCATTGTTGCTATTTCATTGTATAGATTACAGCGATATAAATATTAAAATTTGTATATATAAGGGTACTTATACAAATAAAAATACCCACAATGAAATATAATTGTAGAAATTTCCTTTGTGTGAAAATGCTCATTTCTGCTAAGAAGAGGGTGGTAAGTGAAAATTGTGTGATGCACCACAGCAGATTGAGGTGAGATGATGTTATTGCCTTTATATAAAGTAATATTTTAATTTTAATTCATTCAATATGTCTTTCATTAAGTTGGTTTCCTGAAAGTCATACACTTTTTATTCATTTTTTAAAAATTCTTATGCAGTGGCGGTGTCCCCACTGGTGTCCATTTAAGTCAGCGCCCCCTACCCCTCCCCCGGTAATTGCTCCAGTAGTTTTTAAGAAATACACACTTACTGGAAGAAGAGGGGATATCTTACAAAATACTCTCCTACCGAAAACCTCATGAAGAATAAGAAATAATCTTGGTCAGATTTAAGATCTTACCAGTTAAGTTTTATCTTTTATATATAATGATTTTTCTAAAGCAATAGTAAATTGATGTTACAATCTTTTATGGCAATGACCTCAAGTCATTTCAGGTGAATCATCCATCTATTTACAGTATTATTTTAAGATTAGTATATGTATCTTTTTATGAACATATTACTCCTTTATTGTTAATATTCAGTATACGTTAAATGAATAAATTCAGTATTTGGCAAGGTTCTTGTTAATATCTGCCCTCTATTTATGTCATAATCAAAACAAGTGTTGGTGATTGATAAACTCATAATTGAAAACACAAAAACCTCTGAAAACTTGAAGCAATTGATATTATATTATATGTTCAAATCTGTTCCCTTTAGATAAATAACACCATGTCCATTTTGTTACTAAATGATGTAGCAACTAAGAAACAATTTTGTTTAATTCAATGTTATGGAACAGTGGCTCTCCTCAACAAATAGAGAAATGGCATGGTGTTCTTCATCTCTGGTGGTACAGAAATATATTTTATTCATTTATTTTTTATTGATTTATTAAATATTATTTCTGAATAATTTTTGTTAATTATTACTATATAATATGTATGTACAAATATAATCATGTATGAGCTATATCGTTTTTGAAAGGAGTTATTAAGCATAAAACAAAAATGTTCGAAATTTCAATGGTTTATGGAGCACTTCTTATTGTCGTTTTTGAACCCACAAGTCTTTCAATTTTGATAACTTAGATTTCACTTTAAATTTCAATTATGTATGTGTGTAATAAACAATGTCGTAATTGCATGTCACTATTTTAGATATGTGTTCACTAACACAAAATAAACAAAAAAGTTCATATTAACATGTATCTCAAACTCATTTATTACACAGATATCAAAGGTTTAAGATTTATTATTTATTTACTACATTCTGACTGACTGTGCAAACTTTAACGTGTTGAATACTAAAGAACAGGTTCAAATCACCTGATAAACATATTAACGATAAACAATGACAGTAGTTGCTCATCTGTTTGTCTAGTTCTGTGTTTTTTAGTGTTACTGTGACACAGTTTCATTTATGATTATCATGGGAAACACCATAAATTTATTCACTTAGCACCAATTCATGAGGAGTATGTATTTTTTATTTGTATTTTTTTTTAAATACAATGTATTTTAAAAACACAAAATATATTAAAGTATTTTAAAATAATTTTTTCCCAGATTTGTATTGAATCCACTGTTGTCAAATAATAATATCATATTCATTATTATGTTCATTGTGTATACATACATATATTCATTTTACTTAGTTGTTTCTCATGTACACCTCTACGTTTCCTCTTATATTGGCTTAATAGATTAAATTAATAAAAATAAATATCAAGTGTTAGACTTTTTCTCCCACTGTGGGTTGGCCATGGAACAGTACTTCTTAACAGGGTACTGAACCCAAGACTTATATAAGTCAAATAAAAGGAATTATTGTTAGGAATTGGACAGAAAGTATGGTAATGCCACTCATTTTATAAGTTTTGCTGCCTAAGTTGCTGCTGCTGGAGTTGTTTTTGTAACATACTTCTAAACAGAAGAGATTGCAAAAGACAACTGTGCATAACCAAACATTAACATTAACTTTTTCTTAAAACATTCTAGACAAAGTGATATGATTAACCATAAAATGGTGTATTTTTATTATACTTCACAAAGAAACAAGGTTCCTCCCCTCTTCTGATTGATGGTGCATAAACCTCTTCCTCTCTCCCAAGATATTTTATTGTTCTCATCTTAAAAACAATGCAAGCGAAAGTAGGATTTAAAAACTTGTAGATCATATACAATTACACATACAGCAGTCTGTTCTATCTTTTCCCATTGTCTCTAGTTTTGAAACTTCAATCCCAAAATTCACAATTCTTACGAAATATGTCTCTCAAAACTGTTGAACTTGCACTATGAAACCCCCTTCTGGGCACCCCTGCAAAGATCACTGGCTGGGTGTTTTCACCCCACTTTCACTATACTTCTACTAGAAGCAGAGATGTCCAACATCAGGCCAGAAAATAACTGGTTACGTTAACTTTTTATTTTAATTGACCCATTTGTCATAAATAGTTACACCAGAATGTTTTAATTTCACAGTAGGAAAATTTTCATCAAATAACTTGGCTAATGATTTAATTTTCTAAAATGTTACTCTATGACTTTTGATATAAATTAAACAAATCTCTCCTGCCACAATGACGGGTAATTTTGCAAGGATTGCGGATTGTTCAATTCCACCTGCTTACTTCCAGAACTTTGTCCTTTGTTAAACTGGAAATGAAATAAAGCATTCTAGATCAAACAGAAATTGGGAATGCTCCAATTCTATTTGTAGTGCTGAGGTCAATGAGGGCTTCGGTGGGCTAGGAGGAAATAAATACCATTAGGGCGATCAATTTTCAAAGCAATGCATCTTAGTTGAACTTCAGGGACAATTCTTGTTAGTTTTACAATTACTAATATAATTTGTATTAAATTATTTTTCTTTAATGTACTAAAATTATTAATATTTATTTTTGTGTTTCACAAAACATTTAATTAAATAAATAATTCAATTAAGGTACTTTTCTATTTGTTTACTTCTAGGAATTAGCTCTATTTGAAAATTTCACAATGAAAGAAACCTTTCATTTTTATGGAAATTTTTTCGGGATGGAAGTGAAAAAAATAAACAAACGAATGTATGAGCTTGTAGAGTTCTTGGGACTTCCAGAGTGTGCCGCTCGCCCCATCTTCACATTTAGGTAAAGTATCATTTCTGTACCTTGCAACAGAATGAGCCGTGTCCATAAGTTTGAAATTTGAATCAATTAACTTTTAAAAAAAGCATGTGATGGCCGAATACTTTGGGGCATGGGTCCCACAGTACATAGTTCTAATCATTGTGGGTTCGATTCCCACCTTGGTTGGTTAATTTTCATTTCTCAGTGGCCCCAGGAAAATGAATTTTGACACTTTCACTCTAGTAAGTACGCTGCGGCAACCTTAAGGCAGCCATCAGGGGTAGGCAAAAAGGACTCTCGGGGTCCACTGGCGAGACTAGTGCCCTCACGAGTACTAGTATCTCAAAAAACGAATGATGGTAGGATAAAATGGTAACTGTTAAAAGGGCCAATCTTCTCCAATTATCAGCTGGTGGGTAAGATCACTGACTAATTAAGAGAAGGCTCTCTTCAAATTTCAAATTTTTGGGCAGTGTACCTTTTTGTAGCAAGGTATAGATCTGCATGGCAACACCATTATTATTTTTTATTTATATGATTTGTCGTTAATACTAATGAAATGCACACAACAGCGGCGGTCAGAAAAGAAGAGTATCTTTCGCAGTGGCTTTGTTCCACGATCCGACTTTGTTGATTTTGGATGAGCCTACAGTCGGAATGGACTGCGTCCTATCAGAAAGGTAGAGATCTAATCTAAAGCACATTCTCAATAATGGTGATTATCTGTTGTTAATTATCATCAACAAATTGATTTATCTCTTGCAAGAAATTGGAATGCTTTGATTGGAAATGATTTTTATTTAGGATTTGGAGCTACTTGCTAAAACTGACAACTGAGGGGAAAACTATTATCATCACTACTCATTACATTCAAGAAGCCAAAAACTGTGATATGGTGAGAATAGTTTTCATATTCATTATATAAATTATATTATATTATCCATATATCCATAGATTATATTATCATAATATATGGTACAGCATATTCTGGTAGCACTAGGAAGATTCTAACAATTCAATGGGAGGTTCCTATCAGAAATTGAGACTGTTAATCTCATATTTTACAAATAAAAATCAAACAAAATTTAATAGGCCCCACATATTGTTTCAAGATTGAGGATAATAGTTTAATAGTATTAAATTCTGGATTTAAAGCAGAAAAATATTAAGTTTGGTGGAAATTGTTTTAGCTCTGTTTCTATAAGAAAACCAGACAAAACTTGAAGGTTTTTGATGGACTGACATTTTGTTTTAACTTGGTGACAGGGAAGTTTATGTTTATTAAACCTTCTTATGGCTCATTATAATTACTTCAGATTTTGTCAGAACCAGTTCAGCAGTTTTTTCATGATAAACAAATCAACAGTGTATTATTTTTATTAGATATGAGTGTATAATCATTTATGTGACTAGTTATAAAGATTTGTTCTATAAGTAGCTGTTATTAATGTTAAAAAGTCGTTCTATAATTAACTGCTATTAGTATTAAAGAGTTGTTCCATAAGTAGCAGGTATTAATGTTAAAACATTTCAGATAGGGCTTATGAGGCACGGCCAACTCTTGGTAGAGAAATCTCCAGGTCAGCTGATGGCTTTTCACCAATCCACCAACCTTGAAGAAATCTTCTTAGATGTTTGTAAAAAACAAGATGGTCTTCAAGATGCTATTGATTTACGAGATAAAGTATTATTATAATAGTTCATTTTGTTTAGATCACTATTGAAATTATATTTTTGATGACACAAATTGCGAACCAATTTTTGAAATAATACAGGCTTTTGCCATTATATTTTAAAACAAGGCTTATGTTTCATTGATTACTTGATAATTTCATGGCTTTTCAGATTTTGCAAGAAAAGAAAAAAAGTTCAAAAGCATCATATAGGCTGTTCCCTGACAACAATTGGTTTGATACATACCGATTCATGGCGTTATTAAATAAAAATGTTTTATGGTTGAGGCGAAATAAGTTGTAAGTATTTGGATTCCTTGAACATATTATCTACTATCTTGCTGAATTATTACTGAACTATTATGATTGTCGTATCTAATTTGTTAGGATGTATTTGCTCTTATAATATGTATTTTATGCTATATTATACTTGAAGTGAATATATTAATAATTATAAATCAGCCAATTTTTATTCATTTGTCAGTAGAGAGTAGACTTAACAAATCCAATAACAAGCTTGGAGTAAACTGGAGTTGAGCCCTACACCAAGGCCTTCAAAACAGTTAGCATTTATTTTTGCAGACAAAATAGCTTAATGCTATTTAAAATAGCGAGGAATGGGTCCTCTTCTCTGTGAGACCGCTGCCACAAAAATTCAGATAAATAGCAATCCAGGTGTTGCCTCGCAGTTCCTTAATGTTTTTTATTTTTTGTTTTTATTGTTATTAAATTATGAGACGTCATAAATAAATTTTAAAGCCGTTAAGAAGGTAATCCTTGAACCCACTTACCACGTTTCTTTTATTATAGATACGTTTTTCCTACAACTACTACGTAAACATCTCCATTTGGTCTTCCTGTCAAACTCCATTTCATGACCTTCTTCACAGAATTTCACCTTTGGAATTATACCGAACTTCTGATAGTATTTTATAGCTTCTTCTTCTGATGACGGTGATTCCCAAAGTGAATGAACAGAAGATGACAATATTAACAAAAAATAAACAAAACTGAAAATAATTGAAGAAACCATAAGTAACCGAAGGATAACAAGAGAAGAAGGAAGGTTCCATGATATAAGATAAGGTTCCATTGCAATGGGCTAAGACTCAAGTACCCCAAATCCTTCCAAACAGCCAATTAGAAACCATACAAGTTGTGTCCTATACCAAACCTTTCTGAACAGGCTATTAGAAACCATACAAGTTGGATCCTACACCAAACCCTTCCAAACAGACAATTAAAAACGATACAATCAAACATGAAAATAGTGATGAAAACTGGAGAATTGTTTTAATTGATGAACTTTGTTTCTGTACTTGACTCAGGAGATGACAGTTTCCTTACTTAAAAGGTGTGTAACATAACCAAAATACGGAAATGCTTTTAATGCAGTTACAAACCCATCTTGATTGCTTTAAGGCCTTTTATGTCATCTTTGGGGATGAGAACGCTAGGAGTTTATGTCAACTTGAAATTGGTTTTAAAGGATGGTTTAGAAAATCCCATAGTGTAATCAAGAGTTCAAGGTGATTTATACAGAGGCCTAGAGAATGGTTTTTAGTTTCAAGTGAAGATTGTTTTATAAAATGATGGTCTTGTCGAGGTTATGTGTGAGAGAAGTATCATAAGGCATTGATTGAGTATGTTTACTGACAGGGCTTGGTGGAATGATGAGATGTCTAGATAGGATGACTGGTGTCAGATAGATCAAATTCCAAATCACCATCGTTCTGCGAGCTAAGAGTCAACCAACCAGACTTTGTGAAGAACAGAAATATTAATGAGGGAGTGAATCCTAAGGCTTGATATGGGATATGACAATCGATCAAATGAACACCGAAACCAGAGATGAATCTGGGCTGATCCATTAAAGGTGGAAAATTTAACAGAACAAAATGATAAGTATAAGGTCAAGAGTAGAGATGAGCTCATAGGAAACTTATGATGCATCGCTGGTTTTTCAACTTATGATAATACATCTCTGATTGGCCAACTGATGATGATACATCTCTGATTGGTCGACTTAAGATGATACATCTCTAATTGGTCAACTGATGATGATATATCTCTGATTGGTCATCATACATTATCTCATTATTAAACTGCAATAAAATCATTAATAGAAATACTTTGTAAACCTTTATGATTTTTTAAAGTGGTGGAATATTCATGTGAAAAGTGATCATATATAGAAAATTTCAATCAATTGTCTATATTAGCAGGTACATATTACATACCATATATTATATTAACAGGTAAATAATACATGCAATACATTATATTAGCAGGTATAGGTATTACTGGAAATCGCATGCAGGTTTATAACTATAAATTATTCGATCTCAATTGGTAATAAAATTTAAATATATTCATAACAAACAATGATTGTTGATGAGCTAAGTGATTTGATACAATGTAACATTTTGAAGAGCCTTTTCTCTTCTTCCACCCAAATCCTTAACGTAGAACTCGGCTCAGTTATTGTTATTCTAGCCAGAAAACATTGGTAATGTTAAGATACTATTTAATATTTCTTAGTTTTTATTTCTATAATTTTGATTGTATTTGTGGTTCCACATATTCTTTCAGAGTAATTTTGTTACTGAATCTTATCATGTAACATTGTCTATTGTGTTAAAATTATTTTTTTAATTACAAAATATCACCTCAGTTATTCTTAGCAAACATAATTTATAATTTAATAAAATAACAAATATATTTTTTCCATTATGTTGTTATCTTTATAACCAGATTAGTAACAACATCTCTAGACGATGTAAGATTTTCATTAAATTACTATGTATTCTCACAAGATTGGGAAGGTCAAACTTCATTTTTTGGGTCCGCCTTGCCATCCATTTTTAAGATAAGGAAATTATTATTCACAACTGGATATAAGTTGTGGTTAATTTACACAATTACAAAAGTGTCAGGAACTATATTCAGTCAATAAATTAAACTAAATTTTGATAGGAAGCTTGAATGTTTTCTAATTCCTATTCGATTAAATTTAAACCTATCTCATAAATTTTTTTTTCTGTTAGATGGTGTATTTTATTAAATGTATCAATGAAGAATGGCCTGTAGGAATTATTTGCCAAATTTATAAGAAATGGAAAAATTACTGAGGCATTTCCATATTAGCAGTAGCGCTTAAACATTATCCATCATTCTCGTCAGAATACTTCTACCCTTAGAATAGATTATAGAGAATAAATATCATTATTCATCTTTTTCCATATATAGTTTTTTTGGAACTACAATATTAATAAAAGATATTTAAAATGGTATATGTTTTGCAGAGCAGCCAGTGGAACCGCAATCCTGCCTCTAATTATAGTTTTTTTGTACGGAATGGTGATGGGAAAGGACCCCAAGAGTCTAAAGATTGCACTACTTTCTCAAGAAATTTCATATGATGGTGATCTTGGAATTTGTAATGGTTTACCCGACAGCTACTTTGAAACACTTAATTGTACATTACCAAGCCTCTTCACCTGCCCGTTCATAGATGAACTACATAAAAGGGATATAAATATTGTAATTATTACAACTTACAGTATCAAATATTTTATTTGTCAGTTATAAATCTCCTTTCTTTCTACTCCATGATGACTAGATTCTGAATTGTGTATTCTGCCATATCGATATGCTTCCTTCAACAAATATATAATCAGTCAATTGTAGATATCCTTTCCTCCTACTCCATCATCACTAGATCCTGAATTGTATATTCTGTAATATCGATAAGTTTCCTTCCTCTCATAATACAATGCATTAACTCATTTCAATATTATGTTTTCCTTTGTTAATTGACCTATATACTATGCAAATTATTCATAAGTGCCAACTAGTCAACATTTATTATTTTCAAAGTTTCCTTACGTATCTCAGAATGTTGCACAATTAGGTTACTACAGAAGGCAATTTATAAAGTTATAAAGTTTTTCACTTTTCATTTTATTTCAAATAAATTGCTATTAAATACATCAGAGAATTTTATGGAAATAATAAAGCAACTTGTTGCTTCAAGATTAGTTGCTTGATTCATATGAGTTTATGTAGATAAGGAATAATTAATCTCTGTCTCCATAATCAGGTTCTTTATAAAGACTACAGTTACATAGCCAGGGATATAGCCAGCAATAAAGTGTGGGGCTCCATCGAAGTGCCCCAAAATTTTACTACCGCTCTCATAAATAGAATAGAAAACGGGTTACGGACTGAAGATAAAATAGTCGAAGATGGGATACTAACAAGTAGAATTGATGGAACAAGTGAGTTTTTTGCTCTCTAATGCCTTTTTTTTTTTTATTATTTTTTTTGTATATTAGACTTAATATACAAAAAAAGATAATATTACATGATAACGCATATTGTTTATCCTACAATTTATCAGAATCTATGTGAGTCTATTAAGTGGTTATTTGCAGCCTTGTTTTATTTCAGATGCAATAATAAAAATCATTTTGACCAATCACCTTAAGGAAAGCGTGGAACGTTTTTACAATAATCTTCTCCTTTCTTGTGGCATGTCAGAAAAGGCTAGGATAATACCAATGCAGGTAATGTTAATTTATCTATGTCTAAAAAAATGATAGGTTATGATTTGACAACCAGAAAGTTCTATGCCTCTGTAATTATCAAATTCATAAATGGAGCTCTTCTTAAAGTATAGAACAGACGACCCAGGCCTCTGGTATCCATTCCTCCTCCCATATTTCCTGGATTAGTTATAACAGCTTGGCTCTTAGGTGTACTCCCCCAACAGTTCTGATAGTAGATTGTTGATCCCTGGAACCTGCCTTCATTTAAGCCTGCTGATAGCTATTTCCACCTCCAGAATATCTGTCTTTTCAACCTCAAGTGAGTCAAGGTTCTCAGTGACCCTTGTCTTTTTCGTAGGCAGCCCACAACCCTGCATTGAGAATTTGCTGGAAATGTTCTTTCAAGATTCTTAGAATATTCTCTTAAGATGCCATCACTTTGACATCGTTTCCTTCATTTGTATATTTCTTGTTTTATAACCTACCTTCTCTGGGAGGTATGGTTCACCCATATGACAGATCAATATTCATACAAAAGCACTAAAAAAACAAAACAAAAATCCTACCTACTCTTTCCTGATTTCTGTGAAGGATTCATATGTATTTCTTCAATATTTTGCAATCTTTTTTTGAGA